ATTTAAGCAGATAAAATGATGTTATAGGAATACGTCTCATTTCAGACCATACTAGTTTAATATAAAAAATTCAGAGACATTCAGAGCATGTTTCTAGTTATATGTGATGTGCTAAGTAAATTTTTCATTACAGATTGTATTTTAACTCTTTTATCTTAAATATTCTATTATTTAACTATGCATTTTATTTAGGATAGCAAAACTTCTAAAATACCCAGCCCATAAACATCAGTTCATCCATATTGACTCATTGTTGAAGTTCCATTTACTCTGTGTTCAGAAATTAATTCTAAACTAGCAGGTCTTTAACCTTTTAAATTAGAAATATAATCAGAGTAAATTCAAAATTAAGTGGCTCAGTCTTGTATTCATAGCCCTTGATGCTATACGGTAAGATCCTGTTAAAAAAATTGAAGGCCTGTTCTCTCCACCACTTGTTCTACTGTGTTCATGAGCCTTAGGTGTAGAGGTTCAATTATAGATGTGTCCCTTAGGTTTGGGCATATCCCAGACACTTATCCTGTGTGTGTGACCAGATCTGGAACTCTGTAACAGTTTGTTGCAAAGGAAGCTTCTTGGATGAGTAGTTAACTGGCATACTTGTCTATAAATATAAGAATTCACATTCAGCATATAGTAAATTATGTTCATCTAGGGATGTGACAGACTTAGAGTTTTCTTTAAGATCTATACTGCTCCAGCCATGTGTATTTGACTCTGTTTATAGTGCCACACATAAGTTTGCTGCCATTGAGCAGACTTTAAGTCCAATTAGGTAGCTTTTGATTATCTCTTAGATAAAAATGCCACTACTGCACCAATATAGTTTGCTTTGCCGGTCATTGTTGTGGTTATTGGGCTTTAAAGCTAGGATTGGACCATTGATTGATTTTTTTTTCCCTCCCTTCACAGCTTGCATAGTATCTCCCAAACAATGAGAGCTAGTCTTCAGGGAGGAGGCTTCCAAGTCAGTTCCAGCTCCGTCACTCCAAGTTCTGTGTCTGAAGTATGTCCTGTCTTCAGCAGTAGGGTCTTAACTTCAGGTTCTAGTAAATAATCAAGGGCTGTGGCAATAACCTTTGTAATTTTGGAAGTCTCTTGAACTACCCTGACCAACAACTCAAAGAGAGGTTTCTCCCACCTGATGTGTATTTCTTGTTGTATAGCCTTCAACTATACACATGCACTCATGTTCAGATAGTATATGTACATTTTTCAGTAGACGTTTGAACTAATATCACCTAAACATCATCTTGCACGAGATGTGTCTAACCTCCCTAATCTCTCCCCAGTTACAGTACCCTCACTGTCCCCATTTCCCCCTTGATAATACCTGTCCTCTATGATCACCTCCCTTGAGCGCCTTCTTCCCCTTTGCCCCCATCGTTCTTTGGATAACCCTTGGATAACCCTTCCTCATCCCCTCTCAGTTAAATATCCTTATTTTACCAATTTCACCGTTGGTAACACTACTATTCTCTCTCAGACTCCTTCTTTCCCTTTACCCCCATGGTTTCTTTCCATTTTCTGGCTCCTGCATTACATCAGGATATATACTCATATATATTCAGATATAAGAATTTGGTGCTAAGATCCTTCTATAAATTAGAAAGAACATATGTTCTTTGTTTTTCTGTATCTGTGTTGCTTCACTTAGTATAGCAGTTTCTAGTTCCATCCATTTACCTGGGAATTTCATAATTTTGTCTTTCTTTACTTCTGAGTAGAACTCTATTATGTAAATGTACCACATTTTCATTGTCCATTCATCAGCTGAGGGACACTTAGGTTGCTTCCATTTCTTAGCTATGTAGTAAGAGCAGCAACAAACATGGATGTACAAATATCTCTGCAGTAGGATGAATCTTTCGGGTATATGCCAAGGAGTGGTATAACCAGATCATCTGGTAGATTCATTCATTCATTTTAGTTTTTAAAGTGTTCTCCACACTCTTTTCCCACCAGCAGTGTGTTTGCAGTCCCACCAGCAGTGAATGAGTATTCCCCTTTCCCCACATCCTCCCCAGCATTTCGTATCATTTGTTTTCTTGATCTTAGCCCATCTGACTGGGGTAAGATGAAATCTTAAAGTGGTTTTGATTTGTGTTTCCCTAATTACTAAGGATGTTGAACACTTTCTAAGGTATTTTTTAGCCATTTTCATGTCTTCTTTTGAGAACTCTCTGTTCAGATCCATAGCCCATCAACCCTCATCAGTGATGCTTCCTCATGTAACAGAGGACAATGAACACATAAGACCACCACTGGCCAAAGTGTGTCTCTGGACAGGACTCCTATATTGATCCCCCAGGGATGAGGACCATTGTGGAAGAGAGGGTGGAAAGATTGTAAGAGCCAGGGGAAGAGGTACATGACCATAAGGAAAGATAGTCTTGCAGGCTCCTGGGAATTTATTCATATAAACTTACAGCAGTGGTGACAGCATGCACAAGACCCATGCAAACTCAATCAGACAAAAACCAGCATAGAACTGGGGAAATGGGCAGGAGGCCACAACTTTGATGAGGAGCTATTGGCAGCCGATCACTGCTGGGTGAGGAATTGTTGATCTTCTTTAAGGGAGTGACACTAGACAGGGTGACCAGGCTACAGAGGATGAACTCATAGCAAGGGACAACTCGACTTAATAGGCCTTAACATATATGACAAAATTCATGAAGCTCTGTGAGAAGGCTATGGGGGTTGCAGATAGAGAAGGGGGAACTAAATATGACTAAAATGTATTATGTGAAATCAAAAAAAGTTCACTTAAAAATATATTTTTTTAAACCAAGAAGTTTTTTGTCTTTTTTTTTTTTTTTTTTTTTTTTTTTTTTTTTTTTTTAAAGGGGGTCCCCCTGTACCCCCGGTCTCCCTGTAGCCCCAGCTGTCCTGGAACTCACTATGTAGACCAGGGTGGCCTTGAACTCACAGAGATCCACTTGTCTCTGCCTCCCAAGTGCTGGGACTACAGGTGTGCGCCACCACGCCCAACTTGAAACCAAGAAGTTTTTTATAATTGCTAAATGACACTGTAGTGATAGTGTCCATAAACACAGTACTATTCTACAAATGGCATAGACCTGCTTTATAATCATCAAGAATACTTGTGACCCCCATCCTAGTTCTGAATTAGAGTCTCTCAGCATGGCACCAGTGTCTTAAATGCAGTCCTTCAGTGCATTCATTATACTTATGATTCCCTTCACCACATCTACCACTTAGCATTACATTTGGATCCATGTTATATGATTGTTGAGATAGGTTTATATAAATATTTATTTGTGTTGTGAAATCTTTGAAGTAATTTTACATATTTAGAAGCTAGATTAGCATAGCTCAGTGGTTTTAACAGATGTTCTATACACAGTATTTTTTTGGTTTTGGAAGTTATTGCCTAATTTATTTATGGAAGCTAAGCCAAATAACTGCTGTGAGGTTGTTTACCATCAAAAGAAAAGGTATTCTTCCTTAATGCACTTTAAAAGTGCCTAGTTCCTGGCCATACTTCAACTTCATATTAATTAAATTAGAATATCTATGAAACAACCAAGTTTTAATATATTTTAAAAGTGCCTCAAGTGTTTTAATATACAGCTACAAGGAAACACAAAGCCACGCTGATGTCTAAAAGCAGCAATGATATTTCTGACATTCTTGTGTAGCTTGAGATCTGTAGGACGTAGAAACACATTAAAATAAGGTAGCATCAGAATCCTATTTCAAAAACTGCATTGACAAGTATCAGAGTCAATTTTTTTTAGGCAGAGAACATTTCCTCTGGATAATTATAATTATCTGTTTGGCATTTTTCTCTTAAAAAAACTTTCTGATAAGCTTTCCTAGGATGATGTAAAATATTGATTGGGGAATTTAAGTGATAAGAATAGAATTTTGGCTTTTTCATGAAAGCAGAATTTTGTACTTGTGATTTTTTAAAATAAGATTTTAGTTGTTACAGAAAATTAAACATAAGCCAGATTATACTTTGTAAAAATTCTAAGATTTAGCTGCTCATATAGGATACCAGAATCAATGTATTTAAAACCATATTTATCAAAATTTCACATAGAAACTAGATAGACAGATATTAGCACTATGGAAAGTTCTCAGCCTTATGGCATGGATCAAAACCTATATTAGGGGACTGTCTTAGTTTGATTTCTGTTGTTGTGATAAAACACTTTGACCAAAACCAACTTGGGGAGGAAAGGGCTTATTGCATCTTTAACTTCCAAGTGACAACCATCTTTGAGGGAAGTCAGGAGGAAAGTATAGGTAGGAACCTAGAGACTGGAAATGAAGCACGGACCACAGAGGAATGCTGCTTGCTCCTCTGACCTGTGCTTAGCCTGCCTTTTTAAACAACTCAGGACTACCTGCCCACTGGTGGCACCACCCACAGTGGCCTTGGCCCTCCCACATCACCCAACAGTCAAGAAAATGCATCACAGATATGCCTATAGGCCAACCCAATAAACATAATTCCCCAACTAAGGTTCCTCCTTCCCAGATGTATCAGGTTGACAACCAAAGCAACTGTAATAGGGACCAAGGAGATGGCTCAGCAGGTAAATGCGCATCTCACCAAACGTGACATGAATTAGATCTGTAGAACTCACATGGTAGAGAGAGCAGACTGCTGAAAAGTTGTCTTCTGAGTGCCACATGTGCCAATGGCAGGTGCACCTCACCCCTCCCCCCGTTCCCACTCCACAACAAAATAAATAATAAGTAAATATAAAAAGAGAGACAAAGAGAATTCTAAAATCGATGTTTGACAAAACTTCCTGATTCTCATAAAGAGGAAACCTCAGTGTAATTGTTTGGTTGATTGTTTGGTTTTGTCTGCTTAAATTATAAGATGTGTCCCTGCTTCCCTTTGCTCAAGAATTTATGAGTTCTTCAATAGTAGTCATAATTGCAAGATTTTCTTCTATATTTCAGCAAATGGAATATATCTGTAACTTCATTTTTATTTTCATATGCTTCCATTTTAGATGAACATTGAAGATGTCCATTTCTGCATGTGTGAGATAGACTTTACAGGCTGTACGGCTTAGACAAAATCTGTAGAAATTAGACACTCAAGGTAAGTAGAAACTAGTCTTATAAACGAAGTGGTTAGGGTACGTGATTCATATTTAATTTGCTAAATTTGGCTGGTTTCTTATTACTGCTCCTGGCCATATCCATTCATATTTACACACAATTTTTCTTACTGATTACTGCCTAGACAGGAAGCATCATATTTCAATTATAATGAACATATAATTTAAGAATAATACACTATTTGAAAGAAAAAACTAAAAAAAAAATCTAAAGTCACTTTTCTCAAACATATGGGCACAGCTGAACAAAACTTTTAAAAAATGAACAAAAACTGCTACAATCTACTGTGCTGTTTTCTTTAAAATGCATTCAGTTTAGCATATCCTTTCCTTTGGAGTACTTGTTTCTGCCTGCTTGCATGCTTATTCTACTATATTTAAAATTTTTCAAATGGGATGAGGTATAGAAACCTCAGAACAGTCACTTTAGGGGGCTGGAAAGATGGCTCGCACTTCAGAGCACAGGCTGCTCTTCCAGAGAACCCGGGTTCAGTTCCCAACACCTACATGGTAGTCCACAACTATCTAACTTCTGAACCAGGGGATCTCATGTCTTCTTCTGGCCTCTGGAAGCACTATACACATATGGCACACTTTCATACTTGCAGCCAAAACACTCATACACATAAAATAAAAATAAACAAACTCTTTTCTAAAAAGAAAAAGGCAAAAAGAGGTACTTTAAATATTACTTGCTACATGAGGAAATTGAAAATTTGGAGACTATATGGCCTAAAAATAGGGCCCTCAATTTCAGATCCAAGAACCCTTGTAAAGTGAAAAATCTTAGGATATTTTTCCAAAAAGAAATCAGAAAGTCCGATTTAGAAAAATTTATTTTTTAAATAGAATCATAAAATTTAGCCTTTGGAAAAAATAATTTTTGTCCCTGATTGAACCAGATGAAACAGTTTATGCAGTTTCTGTTGTAGGAGTTTTTGTTTGCTTGGTCTACCTCCCGCCCCCACCCCCATTGCTCTATTTTTTTTTTTTTTTTTTTAGATTTTTTTTGGTCCTAGATTCTCTTTTCTCTTTAATTTGTGGTCAGTAGCTTAGTCATTTTGCTAGTTCTCTGTGACTATATTGTTGTCAGAAATTATTTCTCTTGAAAAATGAATGCTAGTCCTTATTTATTCATTTTCATAGTATATATGGTTACATTGGTTACTTAGCATGTCTACTTAATGGGTTTCTGAATTATAACGATTAGGTGATTATTGTTATGGTGCCTTCATAGCCACAGTCTAAACCCCATTCTCTAGGTTATCTTTTCACCTTGACTGTTTCCTCTCTGTGAAGAATTTTATTCAGTCCTTTTCATCAGTTTTTGCAATTATATCACAAGATTTTTTTTATTAAGTCCCTGCCTGTGTCTATATCATAAAATGCTTTTCCTATGCTTTCCTTTAGCACTTTCAGAGCTGGAGGTCTTATATTAGATTTTTTGGTTCATTTTGAATTGACTTCTATACAAAGTGAGAGATGGGGATCTAGTTTCTTTTTTCTATGTGTGGATATCCAAGTTTCCCAGCATAATTTGAGGAGGCTTTTCTCCAATGTATGTTTTTGACAATTTTTTTCTTTTTTAATTTTTAATATTTTTTTGAGTTTTTGTGCATTTCATATAATACATTTTAATTGAATTTAAACCCCCTCTCCATGCCTTGTAACTCCCTCTCACCAAATTTCGGGTATTCTGTCATATATGTTAAGTCCTTATCTGGTCAAGCATTTCTATCCAGGCATCCCCGGCATCCACTGGAGTCTAGTCAGCCTGTCTAGTCACTCCCTTAAAGATCTGCTCTCCCTCACCCCGTACTAATCATTTGCCAATCGCTTCTTTGCTACCATGGGGCCTGCTGCCCTTTTCCCCTACTCTGTGCTGGGTTTTTGTCTGATTGAGTCAGCATGAGTCTTGTATATGCTGTCACCATTGCTGCAAGTTCATGCGAACAAGTTTTCAGTGGCCTGAAAGACTCTGTTTCCTTATGTTCATGCACCAGTCTTGGCTCTTACAATCATTCCGCCCCCTCTTCCACAATGGTCCCTGAACTGTGGGTGGACGAGGTTTATTATAGGAGTCCTAACCAGGGACACACACTCTGCACTCTCTTATTCTCTAAAATTATCCAGCTATGACCTTCTGTGTGCATTGCACTCTGTTGTATGAGGAAGCTTCACTGGTGAGAAGCGAGGGATGTATTAGTATTCTCTCTACCTCCTGTTCTGCTATGTTCCATGAGCTTTTGACACTTTTGTCAAATCTTAGGTAGCTGTAGCTGTATGGGTTTATCTCTGGGTCCTTTATTCTATAACATTGGCCTAAACACTTATGTCCTTTATTCTGTGACAGTATTCTAAATGCCTGTTTTAGTACTAGTAGCATGCTCTTTTCTTTTCTTTTTTTTTTATGCTATGACTCTATACTGCAATTTGAAACTAGGCATGTGATGGTTCTAGCACTGCTCTTTCTGCCTAGGATTGCTTTAGCTACTTGGGGTCTTTTGTGCTTCCATATGAACTTTACGATTTTTTCTGCTTCTTTTAAATGTGATTGAAATTTTCTCTATAGATTGGTTGTAGTGATTTTCATCATGTTAATTCTGTGGCTTCATGAATATAGAAAGTCTTTCCATCTTCTGTTTTCTTTGGTTTCTTCCCTGTTTTAAAGTTGTCATGATATGAATCTTTCAGGTCCTTAGTTAAATATTCCTAGTAGTTAGATGTTTGTCCTTGATTAATGTGTTGGAAGCATTTGTTGTATGTGCTAAATATTAATTTCCTGCCAGTTTTACATATGGAGACATATTTATATGTGTTTTCTAATGTTGTGCATACTTTTTGTTTTTTATTATTTTTATTTTATGTATATGAGTGTCTTGCCTGCATGTATGTAAGTACCCCCATATCACGCAGTGCCCATGGAGATTAGAAGAGGGTGTCAGATCCCCCTGGAACTGAGTTTCAGATGATTGTTAGCCTCCATGTTGTTTTTGGGAACCAAACCCGGGTCCTCTGCAAGAGCAACCAGTGCTCTTAAATACTGAGCCATCTCTCCAGCCCCTACAGGATATTTTTTAAATAGCCTCTCCGATTTTAAATATTTTTTTAATTAAATGTAGCTGGCATATGGAACTGCTAGTACCAACTTCATTACTGAACTCTTATTCTTTAAATAGTTGATGTTCTCCACCACCTGAGCTCATATCACAAATCTAAGTTTCCTTTGATTTAAGAATAACAAGGCCAGAGCAATAGCTCAGTGAGTAAAGGCACTCGGCATCAAACCTGACGTGTGGAAGGATAGAATCAACTTCCCAAAAGTTGTCTCTGACCTCCACTCAAGTGCCATCATGCATGTGTTCATTCACAGACACAGACACACACACAGACACATAGACACACACACACACACAGCCACACACACACACACACACACACACACACACACACTTGCTTGAAAAAAGAAAAACCTAGGTAATCTCAATGCTGATACCCAAGTGAGCTGTGGATTGGCCACCCCAGAACCTCTTTGCCAGGGATTTAGTGTCCTATCACTGACCAACTGACTTTGATCAGCTTATCTGGCTTCAATTAAATTCTCACTGTCACATGCCAAAAATAATTTTGCACTGCAACAGCTTTCTGCTTCCCTATAACCAGAACCAGATTAGAAATGCCCTGAACTGACTTCTGTGTGTCTCTTAAGTTGTCATACTTCTGGTTGCATGTAAAAGATAAATACTTTGATTTATAAAATGTATGAGGCATCATTTTCAGAAAAGCAAGTGTTGGGGAAAGCATTGTCAGTAGTCTAGTCTAATGTCCTTTACAGCATGAACCAAATTATAGTTACATCTGAGGAATTTTCACATTGTCTTCTGAGTTTGAGGCTTATGCTAACCCTGTACTATCAGAAAAGATATTAGAGACATTTCCACATGTGAAAAGAAAAATTGTAAAGATTATATGCAGGCTCTTCATAGACACACTTAAAAAAATAGATATATTTTTATATGTTTGGTTGTTTCTACCATCCCAAATATTTTAATTTCCTCAAACTTTTTAAAATCTTGTCTTACTAGTCAAACAAAAAAATTTAATGTTTATGTATTTCCCCAGTGCTTCTTGTGCATCCTGACATACCTTTATTCTCTTCTTCATCTACCTTATCATGTTCCTACTATCCAGTTTAAATTCTAAACTATTACGGTAGTATTTTTTCTTTCGTTTAACTATTTTAAAACACAACATATTTTTCTATGTTACTTTATCAGCATCATTTCATATATTTTGTAAAACAACTTCTATTTTTTATAAATTGGGTACATCAATGAAAAAATAGTAAATATTTTCTGAGACTATGTTTTCTTAAAAATGTGTAGTAGCATGTTTTACACTTGAATATCTTTTTTAAAAATATTTTATTTGTTATTTTTATTTTATGTGTATGAGTGCATTGCCTGAATGTATGTGAGTGCACCCATGTCGTATAATGCCGTGGAGGTCAGAAGAGGGCTTTGGATTCCCCTGGAGCTGGAGTTAAGGATGGTTCGTAGCCGCCATGTGGGTGCTGGGAATGTAACCCTGGTCCTCTGCAAGAGCAGTCAGTGCTCTTAACCGCTGAGCCATCTCTCCAGCCCCCTACACTTGAATATCTTAATATAAAATTCTAGGTTTCAAGTTTTTCCCCGTCTGAAAATCCATGGTTTTTGTCCTGTTTATCCTCACAAAATTACTGTATCTTCAAATCCATCCTCACTTCTGTTTGGTTTCTCCCTTTGTGTATCCATCTATTCAGCTTTTAGTGGTGTCCATCCTGTAGCCTTTCCTTTAGATTTCCTAGCCTTGGCCTTTCCTTACTTATTCTTGAAGATTTCTTCTAATTGGTCTACAGGTTCACTAATTTGTTCCTTACTTTACTTACCAATCTGTATGTTTCTAATATATTTTTAATAATTGGTATGTCTTCTTGCCTCTT